TTGACACGCTTGTGAGGTGGGCTGATGCCAACCTCATGAAGTTTAACCATGACAAGTGCAAGGTCATACACCTGGGTCAGAGCAATACCAGGCACAGCTACAGGCTGGGCAGAGAAGAGATTCAGAGCTGCCCTGTGGAGAAGGACTTGGGGGTGCTGGTCGATGAGAAAATGAACATGAGCCAGCAGTGTGCACTTGCAGCCCAGAAAGCCAACCGTGTCCTGGGCTGCATCAAAAGGAGTGTGACCAGCAGGTTGAAGGAGGTGATCCTGCCCCTTTATTCTGCTCTCGTGAGACCTCACTTGGAGTTTTGTGTACAGTTCTGGTGTCATCAACGTTTTTTATGTTGACATGGATCTGTCGGAACAAGTCCAGAGAAGGGCCACGAGAATGATCAGGGGACTGGATCACCTCCCATATGAAGATTGGCTGAGAAAGTTGGGGCTGTTCAGCCTGGAGAAGAGAAGGCTGCGTGGAGACCTCATAGCAGCCTTCCAGTATCTGAAGGGGGCCTATAGGGATGCTGGGGATGGACTCTTCATTAGGGACTGTAGTGGTAGGACAAGGGGTAATGGGTTAAAACTTAAACAGGGGAAGTTTAGATTGGATAGAAGGAGGAAATTCTTTCCTGTTAGGGTAGTGAGGCACTGGAATAGGTTGTCCAGGGAGGTTGTGAATGCTTCATCCCTGGCAGTGTCCAAGGCTAGGTTGGACGAGGCCTTGGGTAATATGGTTTAGGGCGAGGTGTCCCTGCCCATGGCAGGGGGGTTGGAACTTTATGATCTTAAGTTCCTTTCCAACCCTAACTATTCTATGATTCTATGATTCTATGATCCTCTTCAAACTTCTTAAAGTATCTAACTGAAACACAGTATGGTTACGGTGATTTTGTCATTAGCACTCAACAGTATATAAACATTTTAAAAGGTGAGTCTAGTGGCATGCCTAACTTATTGATCATTTTTGTTGGGAGTTGGCTTATCATGCATTATGTACACCACATTCAAGAATAACTCTTTTACTAATTGCAAACGGTAAATACATGTAATAATCATATATATATATATATATATAAACATTTTTCACCTGTATTACATATTGGATGTTAATGAAGACTTAAAAATGCAATGATTTTATTAATCTGCATATTGGTTTAATAGTGAATGGTCTGAGGGGAACTGCTACATCATTTTCTGGTTTGCTCTTCTGCAGCTATGTGTAGGAGTAGTCTTAGCTTGGCTCTGCTCAACAGCCAGGTCTGCAGAAGGTTTGTAGCTGCAGAAGGGAACCTGGAGGTGGTCAGAACAGTCACTGACTTTTCAAGTTCCCATCTAGAATTCTGCATCAGCGTTGTTTTCTAAATAAGCCTGATCTTGAAAAAGGAAATCTAATATTTACCAATTTTGCTTTGCAGTTGCTGTTGCAGAAACTCCTTCATGCTGAATATTTATACCATTCATGCCACAGCTGTACTGAACTCCTGATATAACAAATATTTTTTCTCTGTGTTTGTGTAAGGTCTGTTGAGAAAAATCTGCTGTAAAGAGGACAATGACGTGGCCATCTCCCCATTTCATGAGGATGGTGAATTAGTTGTTAAGTTACTTTGGAAATCCCAGAGGTGGCAGCGCAAGCCATTGTGTTGGGGATTATATAAACACAGAGGACTTTGTCACATCAAATTTGTCTTTTGAAGTCTCAGCTTTGCAAATACATATGTGTTTGCTTCGCTTAACTATTACAAGTAATGCCATAGTAATCGATACCTAATATTAAGCAAAACATGAGGATAGGACAAATCACACAGAAAAGGTACAGAGCAGAAAAAGCAAGCAGTTAAAAAGCCTTCAGTTAGTGTATTAGGTGTATGTTGAAACCTATATTACATAGTCATCATTCTGTTGTAATTAGGAAATAACTTGTCTTGATTTGAAGTTAATATTTCCCTCCTAATTACATCAGTCTAATTAATATAAATATTCAGAATATTTGCTCTTTATTGCTGCTTTTCTCTTTATTACTCTCTTACCAAAGGAAAAAAAAAGATTAAAATGAAAAAGCTGATGAAGGTTGGGGATGAAATCTGTAAGCAGGTGATAACTAAAATTTTAGCTTACCTGAATAAAAAAAAGAAACTAGCAACAACAACAACAAAAAAAGCAAGCCAAACAACTGCAGTTAACAGAGACGCAAATAGATATCAGATACAAGCAACATAACCCACAGCACAGTCTGATTGATATTAACACTTAAGCTGCGAATATTCTTCATAATTCTGGATTAAATGCATCTTACTACATTTTCCTATGCTGAACAGTTTATTATGCATAAGCTCTAGCTCCATATCCAGTTCAAAACTGTCAAGAGCAATAAGAATTTCAATACTGATGCTTAATGTTAAAACAGATACTCATCTGGAAGACAGCCTATTGCGTATGACTGTTGAATTCTGGTTGGTTAAGTTATGTTCCATAGATAATGATATAATGCTTGTTGTGTTGCTGTAGTATAATTCTATGATGTTTCCACATATTTCAGATCTTGGTTGTTTATTTCTTGTATAAGTTGTTGAGCAAACCCAGTTAATATGTTTCTTCAGGTATTGTCAATCATTTAAACCTGTGCTTTCAGCAATTGATCTTTCTAGTTAAGATGTCTTACTTCTCCCTCTCCTCCATGACCAGAAGTGGATTTGGGAACATTTCTTAAAAATTCAGTGGCATTTACAGATTCCACAGCTGTGGCAAAAGCTTAATATGGTGCTTGCGTTTTCTAAGGCAGTAATGAGAGTTAGTAGCTTGGTTGTCTTCCACTTCACTATGGGCAGCAGTGACTTGCGCTCTCTCCTCCTTGAGTGTTGTCCACCCTTAGTTCCTGTGGTTATGAAGTATTCCTCTACTGTATATAGTGTGCCCTGGCCTGCTCACAAATTTTACAGTTCTACCTCTGCCTCTTGTGTTGTGCCAGGTGTGTGTTATATAAGTATCTTTTGTACAAATATCTAGTATTATCAGCAGTCCTCTTAGATCACCATCTGACATTATCTATTTTTCTGTCCATTTAAACTTGTGGTTACTTTTTTTCATTTCCCTTTCTGTCTCTGTCACATGTAGTATCCATAATGTCCAAGCATTATTCTTTTTGTGTGTGCAAGTGTCACTTCCTCAAGGAAGAACACACCCTCTGTTTAAAGTCATTGATGATGTTAGGTGAAAGACATTGTGAGACCTCACTTGGAGTACTGTGTACAGTTCTGGTGTCCTCAACATAAAAAGGACATGGAACTGTTGGAACAAGTCCAGAGGAGGGCCACGAGGTTGATCAGGGGACTGGAGCACCTCCCATATGAAGACAGGCTGAGAAAGTTGGGGCTGTTCAGCCTGGAGAAGAGAAGGCTGTGTGGAGACCTCATAGCAGCCTTCCAGTATCTGAAGGGGGGCTATAGGGATGCTGTGGAGGGACTCCTCCTTAGGGACTGTAGTGATAGGACAAGGGGTAACGGGTTAAAACTTAAACAGGGGAAGTTTAGATTGGATATAAGGAGGAAATTCTTTCCTGTTATGGTGGTGAGGCACTGAAATGGGTTGCCCAGGGAGGTTGTGACTGCTCCATCCCTGGCAGTGTTCAAGGCCAGGTTGGACAGAGCCTTGGGTGACATGGTTTAGCGTGAGGTGTCCCTGCCCATGGCAAGGGGTTTGAACTAGATGATCTTAAGGTCCTTTCCAACCCGAACTATTCTGTGATTCTATGATTCTATGAAATCAACAATTGAGGTTTCTCCTTTGTTACTAGAAAACCTTGGTCTCTTAGCTGGAGAACTGTTACAGAGAATATAGTCAGCAGATTTCCATGGTCTTTTGATTTACACACTGTTATATTCAAGATGGCACATCATATTTCAGAGTCAGTAACACATACCTAATGAGACTTAATTACTGGTTTCTTCGCAGGAGTAAAGCTTGAGGACATTGACTACAGTAAACATGCTTTGAAGTTTTAGTAAGATTTTAAACTTCAGAGATACTATGTTGAAAGTTATCTGTAGCTTGGCAAAATTAAGTTCCTTTTGAAACTGCTAAGTCTTAAAAATTATACATACCTCTGTGTGTCATGCTACACCGAAAATCGTGTTCTTTAGACAAAAAAAAAGAAAATGTGGGGGTTGTTCTTTATTGATAACATTATTTTAGCATGTACAAGTACATGGTGTGACTTAAATCAACTGTACCTCAATGTGAAAATCAGGCAATTCAAAAGAATTATTACATAGATGCATTTGGGCAGAATTATTATACATTTTATAACAGTTCAATAGAAGGAAAGCAAAACAATACAGAAGAATGTAAAGTCATTTCAGCATGCAAACAAATTGTAAAGTCTTTTTGAAGTATTGTGCTTTCTGTAATAACAGGTGTATGTTTTATTTTCATTAAGACCTTGCTTAGTAAAGATTTGGCCTTTAATAAAAATTCTTTGAGCATGAGCCTTGGTTTTACGTAAGATTGCAACCCAGTTCCTTTAAATCTATGAAATACTTGTACCAAGCAGCTTGGAGAGCAGAATCAGGCCTTCTTAATTTGTTTTGCATCACTGTATGAAAGTTTTAGTAACATAGTCCAAACCATTGGCTCATGTAGATTCATGTGAAGTATTTTACATAGGGTTTTTTTTTTTTTGCGTTGTTTCACTTCTCTCTAAAAGAGATCATATTACCGAAATGATAATTTCCTAGTGGGAAAAGGTGCTTAACAATCTCTAATTTACAGACTTGCAGAGGATCAAGAGAAAATGTATTTTAAAAGCTGCTTTTGATAATTCTTGTATTTGCCTAATTACAATTCTTATTATTCTCTTGATTAGAAATAGCTATATGGATATTTGTGATTCATCAAGTATTAAAACAGTTGTTTTCCCAAAATACTATTTGGAAAATAAGATTACTTGATTTAATTAGGCCTTTCAAGGCATAATTTATTACTCACAAATTATAATCTTCTCAGTTTCTTGGCAGTACGGAAGTGGAGCAACCCAAAGGCACTGAAGTTGTAAGAGATGCTGTTAGAAAATTAAAGGTAAGAAGGAATTTTTAATAAGGTATAAATGGAATGTATTCTTCACCTGTTTTCAGAGGTAAGACATTGTGGTTTTAGGTATATGCACTGGTTTTAGAAACAGTTGCTTTTACTGATCTCTTCGTCATTGTGTAGGTACTTGCGTGTGTATTATTTGGTGTTCTGTACAAATATTTAGTTCTAAATTATGCAGCTATTTATAATACAAAGTTTATATACTTTAATGCATAATGCTTGTGTGAGGTATATAGGAATGATTCGTGTCAGAAACTTAGGAGTCCTTGTCATCATTGCACTTTGGGAGGAATCGAAAATCGTGTAGAATGTATAGGAATGATCAGATTAAGATGGGAGTTCCTGTAAATACAATGATGAAAGAAAAGAAAGAACAAAGGAATAATCATTCCTAATCAAAGTCTTTGTTACTTTAAGGGGTACTTTGTTTAACTACTTGAATGTCTCAGATGCTTTGCTAGCTGCAGAGGGTGTTTTGTTTAACTGCTTGAATACCTTAAGGGGGTTAGGTAATCAAGGGATACATTCTGTTAGGGGATGAGGTGAAACTTGTGTATTCGATATGTAACTATATAAGAAATGGAATTGAGGGGCTAAGATAGTGGTTAAGCTTGTGACAGACATTCCCTGTTAATGTGTTGCCAAGGAATTCAATGACTTTTTAAGAAGTTTCATCACCCAAAGATAAGATCCCAGCAACAGGAGGAGAACAATGAAAAAGAATCACGTCGGTATTTGGGTGAAGGAGACGACAGGATTGGCTGAAACCCAAGACCGAGGAGTATAAGACACTGTACCCCAGAACTCTCGGCGTGCGTTGCTGGTGGAGTGAAGGCTCCCCTGCGCACCCAGCGCTGCTTGCTTATTGCTTCTCAATAAATTGTAAATAAATTAAATTTGGACCAAAACCCTGTCTATGCTAAATTTTTATAACACTTGTTCTTTGGAAAATTTAGGGCTTTGTCAATACAAACTTAGGTAGCAACAATTTATTTTAGCTGCCATCCTCACTTTGTGGCTATTGAGTACCTCTCATGATGGCACTCCAAACAGTTTGCCAGAGAATTTAAGAAAATGAACTCTTCCTAATGATACCAGTAATGCCTGACCTGCATTTCTCTGGGCTGTGTGTTGCTTTCTGTGAGCCCCACCTGGGTGAGTTGCCTCTTGCTGCAAAATACAGAGTACCCTCCCACTTAAGGTAAGCTGTTCATGGCAGAGAACACAAGTAAGAATGTTAAACCATGCAGTAAGTGGGCTGTGATAGCTCTGTGAGTACTGGCTGTCCCTGACTGCTTTTCAGCTTAAACTAACCCATCTGATCCGCATAGACTGACTGTTAGACTGGAGGGGAATGTTTGTGACACTGGCATGAATGTCGTTCACCCTCCAGCTTTGATAATTAGTGATATGTCTGGAAATAAAGCTGTAGTGAGATAATAGGGCTTAAAACAAGCCAAGGGGCATTACTGCCTTGTCCTTTAGGTCTTTGTGCTGTGTTGGAAATGGTCTGTGTGCACAAACACCATCTATGTGCTGGTACACATAGATGGCTGAGAAAACCAGACATTTAGTATTTCTTCTTGGTTACGTGTCCTTGGGCAATGAGGGACTCAGCAGCCTACTTGACAGTATTGTAGCGAAATGACTTTTTGAGGGTTGCTAACAGGTAACATGGCTTTGACTTGACTGAGCAACTCATATCCTTAAAGCTCTACACATGCTATGAGTTGTGGTAGGGAATGCTGATTTCATTTGCCTGCTACCTCATGTTGCTGTGGAATTGCACTTTCATGCTTAGCTGCTTACAGCTGTTGGATCATTATTTAGATGTAATATTTAGACATAAAAATTTTTCCTTCCTATTGTACTTTCTGTAAGTTTTTGTGGGGTTTTCATTATTCATTTAAACAGAAGTTCCTTGGAAATGGACAGAAAAATTTGGGAATCAATACACAAAAGTTTGATTCTGTGTTACTACTATAATACAGGAAGAAAGAAGTCATGAAACACTATTCACAGCTCAGCTTTTAGGACTGAAGTTTGCCTTAAAAAAGCCATCTTTACAAGATTGGTTAGTATTTTTGCTCGGGTATTGAAACAGAAGTTCTTTGCCATTATTTTTGCTCTACCAACATAGTACAGCTGCCTTGAGATTCGCTTAGTCAATTCTTAGACCATTTTATGCCAAAAAGATTTACTCTTCTGCAGTTTGTCAGAGACATTATTGCCTAGTTGTTTTCAACTGGGCTAAGGTAAGTATGATCCCTTTTTTAACAATTGCAGCATGCTACCAGTGGAAACAAAATGTATGGTTTTGTGTGAATCTGATGCAGTTTATGGCTGATACTGGAGTGAAGACCGTTGTTTAGATATTTTGTGTTTATACAGTTCTATTACCCTGAGCAAAGTAAATTCCGTGCAAAAATCTGTCAAGATAATATCCTGCTATAGAGAAGTTTTGATTCTGTTTTTATGATGTTTTATCACACTCCTCCCAAGTAAAGCAGCAGCTAGGTGTCTCTGTCTATCTAACTGAGGAAACTCCAGGCTAACCTGAGCTCTCGCTGATCACTGAAGGATTTTGGTGGGTTGGGTTTTACGATTTGGTACCTTGAAATAGTTTGCTTTGAAAGCGAGTCCAAAAAATATTTCAAGTAACTGTTCTGTTAAGTATAGGGAGAGGCAGAACTATTCTAGCTTATCTGTCTTGGGGGAGGGGATGGGACATGAAAACAACAGTTGCCAGCCTAGCACTAAACATAAAAGTAGAAATTTTTGGTATATACATGTTGTGCCATTGAAGTATGCAGGTACGTCTTCTAACTTTTTACGTGTTCCCTAAATAAGCCTCCTTGGAGAGATATGTGTCTGAATTGTTGCTGACAGAATTACATTACTTTCATCAAGCTCGGAAGTTTTGAGCTTAAATTTCAAGTATTACATGGGATCTTACATAATCACAGGTTTATTGGAAAACTCACAAAGTAATTAAAGACGATTTTTGGAAAGACTTGGAAAATCTTGGAAAATAATTCAGAAAGCAATAAAGAGGTTTTATGTTTTAAACAATTCTCAATTAATTGAATACTCTTTTCAACACTGACTTATGTTGCGCATCTGGATTCTTTGAAGAGAAGCCTAGAGGTACTGGGTTTTATTGTGAACCACACATCTGTGGCTTTTATTTTTTCAGAAAATATGAACTAAAAATTTGAAACCAGTGAAAGCAGCTTGAAGGTTAATTTCTTATATCGAAAGAAAACATATACAGTGGTTTTGGAGTAGGAGTTTTTGAGATGTGTAGCTTGTGATGCTATATTGGGTTGTTGGGTTTTTTTTAATGGATTTGGTTTGAATCATAGTGTTGTTAATCATAATTTGTTTTTAATGAAAGTTAATATCTAGCAGAAAAGCAGCTGACTTTCTTAATATTTGGAGCTATTTTTATGAGGGGTGTGCATGGCATAAATAATCTTTTGAAGTCATATGCTTACAGTGATTATAGACCATGAAATACTGTCACTGTAAGCTATTTTTCTTAAACCATCATGTCATCAAAGTGTCAGAAGAGACATTTGATACACAACTCTTCACTTCTTTTAAATCAAAAGCTCTTAAATTCTTAACAGCACACTCTTTTGCTGAACGTAGGTTTGTGCAAATACTGTAACATCTATAAACTTTTCATCCATCCCGTGGACTTACTTTTACCAGCAGGTGGAGCTGATGTTCTACAGTAAAATAAAATAACTTGGAGGAAATTTTACCTGGTGCTTCAATGTACTTGTTCTATCTGAAATGCTACTACTTCGTTTTCTCGACACTTGACAGTTTTGCTGGGTCAGTTGCAATTTGAATATAGAGGGTTTTTTTGGACATCTGTATTATCCAGTTATCCAGTGTTTTTCCAGTTAGGATTTCCCCTCCTGTTTTCAAATTTCTTGGAGCTATGCTGCAGGAGAAAGAAGACAGTTGGACATTTATGTTTTGTGTTTATTTTTATTTTTAAAATACGGCCAACTGTTCTCGTAATTCATTACAAACAGGTGTTTTTTTCTACTCTTGACTAATTTATAGAGTGAAATAAAAACTAAGGAAAATGGTACTAAGGTGTATCAGAACTATCAGAACATGCCTACATTATTCACATGCTTATGTTGTGAAATCACACTTTATAAGGCTGAATGTTTACTTTCCTTGATTAATGAAGGATGTAACTGCTAAATCAGAATGTAGGAATTAATTTGGTCCTTCTGAAAAAGTGCTTGAGGGGTTGCCAGGGGCATAAAAAGGTGCAAAGATCAGCATAACAGATGCAAAGGGCATTATATAAGCAAATGCACACTAATAAGAAGCTAGTGTGGAGGGGTGTTAGGGATGTTGTGGTTTAAACAAAGCCAGTAACCAAGTACCATGCAGCTGCTCAGTCACCTAAATTTTGGGTTATCAGTCTCCTTTTCTCCTCTTTTCTGTAAATAAAGATAACCAAAGATAATGTAAATAGAGTTAATCACTGTGAAGCCAGTTGAAATATACTTGTTCAGCCACTTGGATAAGGATACAGAAATTGAAGAGTGCACCTCCATGCAGGCTGTGTTGCTGTCCTGCTGCTGCTCTTAATAGGCCATCATTGGATAGTATTCTGTGGCTATAATGGTCCATAATGGATATTATTCTGAGCTGCCATTTGTGTCAAACCTTGGTTTCACTTGTTGAAAGGACAGAAGAAGGTGGAGTACAGAAAATCTTGTAATACTGAGATGAAGACGTTTCCAGACAAGCCTTACAGCCACAGCTGTTCTCTTTTGAACTGTTGGAGAAAGCAGAATGTGTGGTCTAGGGACAGCCAGAAGACCAAAGCACATCAAATGAGAGGAGTTGAAGAGAATACCTGTTTATTCTAGCTCTCCAAAAAAGCAACCAAAACCAAAGGCCAGTCCAATAAACCACAAACAAAAACACCTAACCATAAAAAAGAAACC